AAAAAAAAATTTCCTTATGTAGTTTTGGTATAAAGGTCATGCTGACCTCATAAACAAATTGTTATTTCTTGCTTATTTTCTGAAAGAATCTGGGTAAGTTAGGTTTCTTTTTTTTTTTTTTTTTCCATATTGTATGCTTGGGTACTGGTGAAGGTATATGAATGGTCATGAATTCTTTTTCTGTTTGTTTTAAGATTTATTTTGTTTATGCTACAGAACTGGGGTACAAGCCAGAGGTGCAGGGGTGGTGAAAGGATTCACCAGAGAAAAGAGGGAAGCAGAACAGGCAGATTGAAGAAGTACACTGCTGAGGGGAGCAGTGAGCAGATCAAGAGAGATCTGCCACACCATGTAGGTCACCTCCCTGGTCGGGGCTCAAACTCCTGCCTCAGTGGCTGTGGATAGTCATAGTGCCGTGCTTTGACCCCTTGTGCCACTATGGTCATAAATCCTTACTGCAGAAAAATAAACATGTTTGAAGAGAGAAGACAAGTCAAAGAGTAATTAAAATATAAGACAATGTCATGAGTGATCTAAGAGTCCATATAAACTGCTCAGAGGGCACTTTAATAGGAGGATGAATGTTTTTTAATTTGTTTAGTTTTAATCTTTCACACTTAAGTGCAATGTGTTTGAGACCTTGATTTTGTTTCTGTGTTTATAGAGTTTGTATATTGAACTTGTTAGATCATAGATCATATTTAGATATGTAAGAGTTGACCAAGAATACCCTTTTTGACTCTTAAGACATTGTGGTATAATCATGTGCCTGAAGGTTTGTTTTTGTTTTTTTTTTCTTTTGGTCTCTGTTTTAGGAAGAGCATTAAGAAGTTGGTTTTGAAGAACCTTAACAATAGCAATCTTTTCTCTCCTGTTAATCGTGATTCAGAAGATCTAGCTTCACCATCTGATTATCCAGAAAATGGAGAAAGGTAAGCTGAATACTGTGTTGAATTATTTCTGGTTGAGAGCCCTATTCTCATTCTGAAGACATTCTCAGTTTACAGTGTATTCATTGAATAAAAATTATGAAGATTTAGTGAATATTGCATAGAATCTAGAGCATAGGGACACTTAGAAATTCAGTTTTATTTTATTTCTTTAGTAATTTAGATCTTAAAATTCTTGAAGTTCTGACTCATTTCTGCAAAACTGCTTAGGTATCTATGCCATGTGAAATGGGGTTACCATGCATTTGACATTACTCACACCCCTAAAGTAAGAGTGTTTTTACGGTGATCACCAAAGTGATGTAACTATCACTGTCACTCTTCCTTCAAATCTGTATGTAAGTGTATAAAGGAAGAAGTAAAAGTATATACAATGAACCCTAATAGTTTAGTTTGTATTCTTACCATTTAGAAAATTATTTATTAATGTATTCTTGTATAATGAGGGGCTATGCATGAATGATAAAATTTTTTTTTAAAGATTTATTTATTTGTGCATAAAGAACTGGGGTACAGGCCAGAGCCTCAGGGGCGGCGAGAGGCTTCACCAGAGACAGAGTGGGGAGCAGAACAGGCAGATCGACAAACTACACTGCTGAGGGGAGCAGCGGGCGGGCCAGGAGAGGTCTGCCTCGCCATGTGGTCACCTCCAGGGCAGGCGGGAATTGAACTCATACGGAAGTGACTTTAGCCTCTCAGTGCTGTGCTTTAACCCGCTGCTCCACCAGGGAGGGCCCGTTAAAATATTTTATAAGCTGTTTATTTCCATTTATTTTGTTATAAATTCCTTTCCATATTAGTCAATAATATCTTATTGGAAGACACCTTTGATAGTTTGATAGTTCATTAATGAACTGGTTTCTAACACCATCCTGATTGTATAGTTAATAATCTAATTTTTATTTTGAAAATCACAGCTAGCCATTTAATGCCACATAGCAGAGCACCCCATTCCCCTTTTTTGAACTAAAAATTGAGATGCTCAGGTGGATTCATTCTTTGAAAATATATCAGTTGAAAGGCATGGAAATCTATAGCCAGATATCTCAGGGTTAAAAATCTCGACCTCCCTGGTGGCGCAGCTGGTTAAAGCACAGCACTAAGAAGCTTAAGCCACTTCCCCATGAGTTCTATCCGCATGAGTTCTGTCCCCGCCTGCCCTGAAGGTGACCACATGGCGCTGCAGACCTCTCCTGACTCGCCCACTGCTCCCCTCAGCAGTGTACTTCGTCGATCTGCCTGTTCTGCTTCCCACTCTGTCTCTGGTGGCTCTCCCACCCTCCGCATCTCTGGCCTGTACCCCAGTTCTGTATGAATAAATAAATCTTAAAAAAAAAAAAAATCCCACCTCTAGCACTTGTGAACTTGGGCAAGTTACTTAATTTTTCTGAGTCAACTTCTTATAGAATAGAATGAAAGTAACATCTTACAGGATTAGTGTTAAGTATCAACTGAGTTTTTAATACTTGAACAGTCCACTTAATAAAGACATGGTAAGAGTGGGCTGTTATTGTTATTAATACTACTACAAGGCACTAAGATAGTATTTGTTTCTTTTCTCCCTTTTCAGATTCAATTTCCTGAGCAAACCTGTTGATGAGAATCATCAGCAGGATGGAGATGATGATTCTCTCGTTTCACGTTTTTATACTAACCCTATTGCCAAACCCATTCCTCAAACCCCAGAGAGTGTTGGAAATAAACACAACAGCAGCAACAGTGTTGATGATACCATTGTTGCATTAAATATGCGTGCTGCGTTGCGAAATGGACTAGAAGGAAGCAGCGAAGAGACCTCTTTTCATGAGGAGTCACTGCAGGATGACCGAGAAGAAATAGAAAATAATACTTATCACATGCATCCAGCAGGTCAGGTTCAGATTGGTACTTGTTTAGCTCTGTTGCTCACTTTTTAAATTGGGCTATATGTTTTCTTGTTGATTTGTATGAATTCTTGTAGGTCTTAGATATCAGCCCCTTGTCAGATATATGATATACAAATACTTTCTGCCATTCAGTAGGGTGCTTTTTTGTTTTAATGACAGCTTACTTCACAGTTGTGGAAATATTTGTTTATTCGTTTATTTATGCATGCATGCATACAATAGCTGGAATGCAGGCCAGAGGTGTGGGAATGTGAGAGGATTCACCAGAGACAGAGTGGGGAGCAGAACAGGCAGATCTTCTGAAGACAGAAGGAAGTCTGCTGCACCGTGGTTCACGTCCCTGGCTGGGGGTTGAACTCCTACTGCAGTGGCTGCGGATAGGTTCATAGTGAAGAGACTTTACCCCTTGTGCTACTAGAGAGGCCCCTGCAGAAACTTTTTAGTTCAATTTAGTTCCACTTTCTCATATTCTCTCGCCGTTGAAGCTCATCTCCAAAGATATCATTAAAGCCAGTGTCATGAAGTGTTTGCCTATGTTTTTTCCTATGTATTGTTTGATTTCAGGTCTTACATACAAATCTTTAACCTATTTTGAGTTGATTTTTTTTATGTGGTATGTGATACAGAGGTCTAGTTTCACTCTTTTACATGTGGTTGTCTGCTTTTCCTAACACCATTTGTTGAAGAGACTTCCTTTTTTCCAGTTTATACTCTTGTCTCCTTTGCATTGTTTTCTTTTAATTCTTTGGAAATCTAATTAGTTAATATTTTTTAAAGTATATTGACATAAAAAAGCTCAGGCATTTTAACTTAACACTGTAGACTAGGTACTAATTCTTATTTATGTGGCAACATTACAGATACTTCAATAAGCTCTAAGAAAGCTGCTTCAAAGATAACGAATGCTATGAAAATGCAGAGTGCTCCCCACTCTGTCTCTGTTGAATCCTCTCACCCCTCCACACTTATATGTGGTACCCTAGTATTTGAACACATAAATGAATAGGTCTTTTAAAAAAGGAAAATTACTCTGTTTCCTACATATAGTAATATAGTTACTGGTTATTTTAGATTATTTTTTAAATTACTCATTTTGTAGAAAAAATTTTTAAAGGAATAAGGATTAAAAGTTCCTCTACTTAACAAACATCAGTTAATTTAATCACATTTAGTATTTTTTGTTTCTTTTGTCATAGGTATTGTTCTCACTAAGGTTGGTTATTACACTATTCCATCTATGGATGACCTTGCTAAAATTACCAATGAAAAAGGAGAGTGCATTGTTTCTGATTTCACTATTGGCCGTAAAGGTGAGTTTCAGAGTTAGCTGTATATAAGCCATAGACCGGGATCTTGCTTTTGTAAATATAAAAGATAAGTTCTTGATGTATAATCTATTATATTCCTATATTTGGACCCACTTTGGCCTGAATAGTAGACATTGGCTGACAAATTATAAGACTTGAACTTACAGCATTCTTTAGTAATCATTTTGCTCATTGCGAACTTCTGCAGTTAAAGAAAATACTGGATGCAGTGAAAAACACTAAAATTTTTCAGTAGAAAATTGAATAATTGGCAATACCTAGGTGATACTTAAATATATGTTATTAAAGAGAAAATTTTCTTGGAAAATAACTGCTATATTTTATGTAATTGCTATTTTGTATGTAGATATAAAAAAGCTCTGGCATTTTAACTTATGCTACTGACTGGGTACTAATTCTTATTTATATGGCAACATTACAAATACTTCAAATGAACTCTAAGAATGCTGCTTCAAAGATAATGAATGCTATGATAATGCATGTGTTAAAGTATATAAGAATGTATTTGCTGTCACCCTCTGATAACTGTTATGGAGGAAATAGCCCATTCAGGGTTACTTTTTGATGCTTCTTGTTCCTTCTAATTATTTAACCACTAGAGTGTAAAATAAGTATTTACCTTCATACAAAATGAGTTTTTAACTATTTGCTCTGACTTTTAGGTTATGGCTCAATCTATTTTGAAGGAGATGTAAATTTGACAAATCTAAATTTGGATGACATTGTGCATATTCGAAGGAAAGAAGTGATTGTTTACTTAGATGATAACCAAAAACCGCCTGTGGGTGAAGGGCTAAATAGGTATGGACTTATTTACATAATTAGAAAATAATCAATTAAATCACAGGTTTTTTTCCTGTAAACATGAATGTGTTCACATTATATACATTCTTCTGCAACTTGCTTACATGACTTACTGGTCAGTGTGTGATCCTCATAAAACATTACATTAACAGAATTAGGAAAAAGCTACATATTTATTTCAAATGATAGAGACAAAGCATTTGACAATATTCAGAACTCTTTTATGACCAAGATACTGAACTCACTAGGAGTAGAAGGAAACTTATCAGTCATAAAAGCAATACAGGAACCCATAAGCGTCATACAAAATGTGAAAGAGTGCTTTTCTTCTAAGATTAGAAACAAGGTTAGTATGTCTTCTTTAACTACTTTATTCAATCTAGTACTACTGGAGGTTCTAGCAGAGCAGTTAGGTGAGAAAGAAAAAAGACATCCATAATCAAAAGGATAAAGTAAAATCTGAAGATTTTATGTTTTCACATATAATAAACACTAGAAACTTCCCACACAACACAAACCACTGTTACTACTAATAGTGAAGTCAGTAGAGTAGCAAAAAACAAAATCAGTGTGTAAAACTCATTTGCATTTCTGTACATTAATAATGAAATGTCAACAAGAATATTAGGAGAAATTTTAATGTACAGTAGCATCCCAAAAAATCCCACAGAAATCTTTCATTTTATTGAACTTTTAAATTCTCTTACATCATTGTTTATCTCTGTACAATATTTGGTTTTTTTCCCTTCAGGCATAGTCCCTATAAATCTTATGCCACATCATCTGTGAACTGTTACAGTAGTCCTTTATGTTCTTCCCTCTCCTGTTTTGATCTCTTTCCATTTTTCTCTTCTGCTGTATGCTTCACTTCTGTAGTTTGCCTGCAAGTTTTGGCAGACAAAAATATTTTTTTGCTGAAAAGCGTACAAAACATTGCTTAATTAAAGAAGACACAAAATAAAATGAAAAAACAACCCATGGTCATGAATTGGAAGACTTAATATTATTAAGATGTTTGTAGTATGCCCAACAGGGTCTGCAGGTTTATATAATCCCTAATAAAATCCCAGGGACTTTTTTTTTTCTCCCCAAAAAATAAAGAAATACATCCTAGACTTCATATGGGATCTCAAGGGACCCTATATAACTAAAACAAAATTGAAAAAGAACTAGGAAACTGAGTGCTCTCACTTTATGACCGCAAAACTTACTATAACAATACAGCATTTAAAGCAGTGTGGTATTGATATGATATAAAGACAGATGTTTACGTCTAATGAAATAGAATAGAGAACACAGAAAGAAATGGGCTCAAAACCATTCACTGGGAAAAGAAGAATCTTCAGTAAATTATTTTGGGACATCCATATGCAGAAATTAAACCCTTACCTTATGCCACATGTTAAGGGGGGGGCGGGTGGGGAAGGGAGGATCCAAGAGCTAAATATAAAGATAAAATTGTAAAACTTCAGAATAAAAGTAGAAGTATAATGAAATTAGTTTTGACAAAAATTTCCTAGATAAAAACATAAGCAACAAAAGTGAAAATAAACATCTTAGATTGTTTCCAAATGTAAAATATTTTTACATCAAAGAACACAGTCAACAGAATGAAAACAAACTGCAGAATGGGAAAAGACTTTTAAAATTAAGTGATAGTTAGCATCAGAATATGACTAATTTCCTTACAGGTGAATAACAAAAAGTAAAATCCTAGTTGAAAGTGGGTGAAGAGGCCCCTCCCTCGTATGCACAGGGTTAAAGCATAGCACTATGAAGATATCCCCTACCACTGAACCACAAGTTCAATCCCCAGCCAGGCAGGTGACCCACATGGCACGATAGACCTCTCCTGTCTTGCCTGCACCTCCCCTGAGCAGTGTATTTTAGTCAGTCCACCTATTCTGTTCCCTACTCTGTCTCTGGTGAATCCTCTCACCCCCTGCATCTCTGGCCTGTACCCCAGTTCTTGTATGCATAACTAAATAAATCTTTTTTTTTTTTTAAGTGGTTGAGGAGCTTTAACAGAATTCTTTCATAGATTATCTACAAATAGACAACAAGGATATGAACAATATCGCTAGTCACTGGGAAAATGAAAATCAAAACTATAATGGTTACTATCAAAAAGGAAAAATATGTTTTTGTAAGAGTATGGAAAAATTGGAAACTCTGGGCACTATAGGAATGTAAAATCTGGGAAATGATTATAGGGACTTCTCAAAAAATAAAAACAATCTAGTGATTTTACTTCTACATGTATAGCCAAAAGTATTGAAAGCAGGATCCCAAAGGAAATACACATCCATGTTCATCACAGGACTATTCATAAGAGCCAAGAGTTGAAAGCAACCCAAGTATCTATTGACAGAAGAATGCCTGACCAAAATATAATAGTTGACCTTTAGAATTCAACCCGAAAAAGAAAGTAGATTCTGATCCAGCATAGATGAACCTTAAAGACATCATGCTTAGTAAAATCCTGTTACAAAAAGATGTATACAGGTATTTGAAGCATCTAGAGTCAAATTCATAGAAAGAGAAAATAAAATAGTGGTTTCTGTTTCCAGTGTCTGAGGTAAGGACAAGTGATTTGTTTTATGGTGAATACAGAGATTCAAAAATGAGAAGGTTCTGAAGATAGATTGCATAGCAATGTCAGTATAATTAACACTACTGAATGATACAGTAGAAATGGTTGGGAGGATAAAAACTTAGTCCTAGAGTTTAGATATTGATATTAGAAGGTACTACACTATCACTGTTATTTTTAGTACTCTTCACATTATGTTCCATATATTTCATTCTGTAAACACTTGCTTTTAACAAATGCTAAGGGTTGGTCTTAACAAAGGACATTGACAGTCATCCTATTAACAGTGGACATGGTCAAAGATTTATCGGTTAGGCTTTATTAAAATTAGATTGAAAAAAAAATTAGATTGAAAACTACTGATGTACCATGGTAGTTGTAAAAATGCAGTTTGACTTGGCCCTCCCTGGTGGCGCAGCGGGTTAAAGCACTGCACTGAGAAGCTAAAGCCACTTCCGCATGAGTTCGATCCCCGCCTGCCCCCCCCCAGACCACATGGCGTAGCAGACCTCTCCTGACCTGCCCACTGCTCCCCTCAGCAGTGTACTTCGTTGATCTGCCTGTTCTACTCCCCACTCTGTCTCTGGTGAAGTCTCTCACTGCCTCTGAGTCTCTGGCCTGTACCCCAGTTCTGTATGTACAAATAAATAAATCTTAAAAAAAAAAAATGCAGTTTGACTCTTACCAGGAATTGAGCAGTTAGTTGATGTGGTTGTAATTCCTTGCCCTTTATCTGCCTCGAGAGGCAGCATTCCAATTTAGGAAATACCTGCAGGGTAATTTCAAAGTTAACACAGTTGCTTTACTTAGAACTTAATTTTTAGTTGGCTTTCTGGTCTGAAATATGAAGCATTTATACTTTACTTGGTTGTATTTTACAGGAAGGCTGAAGTTACACTGGATGGAGTTTGGCCAACAGATAAAACATCTCGTTGTTTAATAAAGAGCCCAGATCGACTTGCTGATATCAACTATGAAGGAAGATTGGAAGCAGTTTCAAGAAAGCAGGGTGCTCAGTTCAAAGAGTACCGTCCTGAAACAGGTTCTTGGGTGTTTAAGGTACAGTCACTTAACCTGTTTGATAGTTCTCACAGTTAAGAATTACAGAGTATGTTGGAAAAGATCCTCTTAAATTCTTTTAGTTTTACAAATTAGAAAACAGATGGAGCAATTAATCATGATTAATTTCAAATTATAATCTAGTTGAATCCGAGAGCAGTAAAGAGCTATATAAGCTCTGGACTCATGATTTAAATCCTCTACTCCATCCTATGTGCACTTATTACAGAGTACTCCTAAGGTGTGATTTTTCTGATGTGTGGCCTCATTAGAGACATCAGACAGAATTTGTATCTTTTGGTGGGTCAACTCTTCTATAAATAATTGTCATCTTTCAGATATTTCTGAGGATAGAGAAGCTGACTTCCTCTTAATTTATACCACTGGTTTCTTACTTTCCTAAGCAGGTTAGGTTGTTGAACTTGTTGAAGCCCATGTGTAGATAAAGGAAGAACCAGGTGATACATAGATCTGAAAATAGTTTTGGCTCTTTTTTATTTGGTTTCCTATATTAATGTACTGTACTAATTTGATATTAGATGAGCAACTTGTACCTGCACTGGACATCATCTAAATCTTAAAAAATAGAGAGGTAGATATTTTACTGTGCTTTAAATATTTGGTTTCTTTTCCTTTTTCATAAGATTGGGATATTAAGTATTTTGGAAACTTTTCCAAATAAAAGTGTTAAAATTGATTTTGTTGGACTCTTTTCATCATTAGGTCTCCCATTTTTCTAAGTATGGCCTTCAGGATTCTGATGAAGAGGAAGAAGAAAGACCTTCAAAAACTAGTACAAAGAAGTTAAAGACTGCCCCTTTGCCTCCTGCAGGCCAGGCCACTCCGTTCCAGATGGCTCTTAATGGCAAACCAGCACCTCCACCCCAGGTAGAGAAAGGACAGTGAATTTGAATGGAATCATGATACAGAAGTTTAAAGCAAGTCGATTCAGCTGTTACAAAGCTGTTTTATGACCCCTGGAACTTTGAAGAGTACAAATGTGTTGGCAATCACATTGAGACAAGTGCAAGGGAGGGTGTGAGGTGGTGCTATCATCTATTTTTAAGTTGAGATATTTAAAGAATTTTCTTGCTGTTTGCATCCTTTCCATCTACAGATTGTCATTCTTAACCACCTCTCTCTCATTTGGACTTGGCAAATTTTCTGCCCAGTAATCAGTTTAAGATAGCATTTTGCCTGTATGGATTGATATAAAGTAAATCCTACTTTTGTTGACAACTTGATGTACAGTTTAATTTTGTTCTTTACCTCTTGGGGTTTTTTGTTTTTTTCATTGATGTTCTGCAAGGGTTTTCTAATCCATCTTTCTCAAGTTGTTCTTATACTTCAAATTAACTTTCAATATTTGTATTTAACAAAGCAATATGGAAAAAGAGTTAAATTTGAAATACAAATGCATTATTTGACTTGGGGAGAATAGGAATTGTGTTATTTATTATAATTAGTTATATTTTCTTTGACTATTGTTAAGCCTTATAGGGAAAGGTTTGTGATTTAAATATCTGGTAATTTCTTTGAATAGCAACTCAGATGGAGTTTTACTTTCATTTAGGTGTTGTTAAACAGTTACAATTTCCTTTGCCTGCCATACCATATTCCTTCAAAGAAGAGTTCTTGATACAGTATTTCTTTGTAAATCATCCTCTACCTCTCAGCTGCTTAAAAGCAGGACCTTTTGGAGTTTTTCATGCTACAGTTCCTATGGCTGCTAAAATGTGCAACTTTAATTATGATTTATTAAATAATTTCTTGGGAAGCTTTATCTGGAGAATATGGTGTATGTATTCTTTTTTGTGCATATGGGATGGGAGCTATGATAAAATTGGAAAATGGGAAACATTGAATTTTGCATTTATTGTCTCTGTAGTATTTAGAATAATCCTAAGAAAAAAACCTCTTCTGAACTAAAGAAATGTTCTAATGGACTTGGTTCTCCTTTTCTCCATATTCATTTTGCCAGAACCATATATATACTTTTCAAAAATCCCTTTTTTCCAGTGTGTTCTTTAACCTTATTTTATATGTATTTCTTAGGAAAAGAGTCAGGTCGCTTTATGTTTTCCGGTAGTAATTTTCTAAGATCCCAAACGTAATTGAGAAAGAAAAGTTTCATATGTGGGAAAATACCAAGTTTATTTAATGTTGGCAATCAGTGTTTTTCAGGCTCTTTAATATTTACAATACAAATAGAGTTAGCTAAAATCTTTGATGATACTTCAGTAAGTAAGAGCTCTTTGAAAAAGTGAGCACCAAAAAATTCAGAAAGCTTCTAAGGAAAAGATGAAAAGGATCAACATGGGCAAATATAATACCAGTGAATAGGGATATTTTTCAGGTCTCTCCTTCTATTAAGAAAGAGGGGTAGTCTTTGACCTTTTGAATTGGGAGAGCAGAAATGGGTATAGGTGTTCAGATATTTAGGCTAATGTGTTAAATCACTAATGTGGAACTCCGGAGACACTTCCATCTTACTGCCTAGTAATCTAGGTAAAGTGGGTGGGAAGTGCTCAGTGGTCACAGTTCTTAGTTATTAAGCTGAAAACCCTGTATTTTATTTGACATGAGGAAGATACTTGAACTTTTTGAAGTATTACTGTTTTCACACTATCACCTGGCCCTCTGAAGAGGTTGATTTCTATTGTAAGTTTTCCTTCCGTCTACTATAGTATTCTTTTCTTTTCCTGTGCACATTCTCAGTTTTTCTGTCCTGAAGTGTGTAGGGAGATAGATCTTCAGGTAGTAGGAAGATTAATGGTCACATCTATCCCACTGCCTTTTATATTAAATATTCTCAGTCATCTCTTTCCAATTCATTAATAAGCCTTGCTTTGTTCCTAAAATAACAAGCAAATCTAAGCAACCAGAAAACACATTTTTAGGTTAAAAAAAATCTTGGCAGAAAGCCATTCATTTCACAGATGAGTCAGGGCAGTTACAGAAGTGTCATAGTTAGAGCATTAGTTCCAAAATGCTCATGTGAGATTGAGTTTTCAGCAGACTATATCAATACTTTGGTGAACTTTGATTACACAGAACTGGCATGGAGCGCAGTCATACTTATATTTTAAATGCTTTTCCCCAAGTTTCAAAACAGTTCAGTGAAAGACCTCATAAAGAGACATGTAGCTTTTTACTTCAGCCTTAAACACTGAAATGAAATGTAGCTGTTCAGCACTATTGAAGCTAATCAGTTGAAACTTAGCGATGTTTGCTTGTTCAAGGGGGCGGGGAAGTACTAGAATTTATAAGAACAGTCCATTTCATTGTATGTATAGTTTTTTTTAATGAAATGGCAACTGTCTAAATTTATTTAAATTTACAATGAATTTTAATATGTTTGAATATCATTTTTATCTAAAATCTGTAAAGCTTTTTTTATTAATGTATGTATGATCTTGGAGGTTTTTGCAAATTAACTTTAAATCAAACATAAAACTATTAATGTCATTTAGTCTTGTCCTTCTGTTGTAATATCCCTAAATGTGTGTCTAGAAACAACACATTTAACTTTGGTGGGCCCTTCAAACACTGAAATGGAATTTCTCTTGAGAACATAATGTTGCTGACCACACCAGTTTTCCAACAAATTAATAAAACATTCTTGACAGCTAAGAAACAAGTGCTTTTCAAGATTAGCAATAGTATTAGTTACATACACTGCTTTAAGAGATACTCTGTAGGATATTGGAAGCTTTGTATGAGGAAGAGCCTTGTGAGTTGAGTGGAGGTTTTCCAAATCATTAGTTTCAATTGTGCAATCTCACCCTTTGCTTATCTATTCATTTGCAGATATTACTTGCATGCTTGGTATTTAGATATAAATAAGATATCCTCCTTTGAAGAGATTACAGTGTGGGAAAGGTAGTTAAAATGTTACTCCATTCAGTTGCATTTTTCCATAGATCTTGGGAGACTTTTTTGTTTTAAAACTCCTACTCATTTCTGTTTTATTATAAGTGTACTTAACTCTCCAGGACTGACTTTGAAGAAGTAACTAATCTCTCCAAGATTTCTCTGAAAATTAGGTACACAGACATCTTTGGTGGGGGAACTTATTAAATCAATTAATTACATATATTTTAACAAAATGCATATATAGTGTTTTTGGTTTTTTCTTTCTGGACATAAAAGAGTTTTTTGTTGTTTTTTTCAATTGTCAGTTTTTTACATGTCTGTTTAATTTTGGTGTTAATTTTTTCATGCCTCCTTATGTGGCCTTTACTACACTTTCTCCTACACTTTTGCTGTGCTTTGCTAATTTTTTTTTTTCATTATTTTTATTCTACAGATAAGTGAAACCATCTGGTATCTTTCACTTTCTCACTTGTTTCACTTAGCAAAACCCATCCATTTTTGTTCCAAAAGAGATGTTCATCTTTTTAAATAGCAGAGTAGTATTCCATGGAGTATAGATTTCACAGTCTTTACCCAGTCACCTGTGACTGGGCAGATAGGTTGGTTCCAGGATTTGGCAGTTGTGGGAAGTGCTGTTATGAACATATTTTTATATTCTTTTGATAAATACCTATCAAAGATATTGATGGATCATAGGGGATTTCCATTTTTATTTTTTAAAGTCTCTCCGCACCATTTTCTGTAAGGGCTAAACCAAAGTTGCATTCCTACCAAGTGGATGAATGTTTCTTTTCCTCCACATCCTCACCATTTGTTGTTTCCATTCTATTTATTTGTTTATTTATGATTTTCATTTATGCATACAAGACCTGAGGTGTACCTGGCCAGGGGTGCCAAGAGGGTGAGAGGATTCACTAGAAACAGAGTGGGGAGCAGAATAGGCAAATAGACAGAAATACACTGCTAAGGAAAGCGGTAAGACAGGAGAGATCTACAGTTCCATGTATGTTAGCTCCCTGGCCAGGGATCGAACTTGTGCTGCAGTGACTGCAAATAGCTGAGGCTTACCATAGTGCTAAGACTTAAACCCTTACACCACCAGAGAGTCCACCCAGGAGTGATTTGAGAACTCATTTTGATTTTGATTTGTATTACCCTCATAGTAAATGATGTCAAGCAATTTTTCTTGTGCCTAGAAGCCATCTAAATGTCTTTATAAATGTGTCTATTTAGATCTTTTGCTCTATTTTTCTATTTGGTTGTCTGTTTTGTTGTTGGCTTGTATAAGGGCTTTGTGTATTTTGGAAATTAACCCCTTGTGAGGTGTATGATGTGAAAATATCTTCTCCAAGTTTTCCAAATCTATAGATTGTTTTGTTTTTGTTTTCATGGTGGTTTCTTTCATGGTACTAAAGATTTTTTTTTTTTTTTTAAGATTTATTTATTTGTGCATACAGAACTGGGGTACAGGCCAGAAGCTCAGGGGCGGTGAGAGGCTTCATCAGTGAGAGTGGGGAGCAGAACAGGCAGATCTACAAAGTACACTGTTGAGGGGAGCAGCAGGCGGGTCAGGAGAGGTCTGAAATGCCATATGGTCACCTCCGGGGCAGGCGAGAATTGAACTCATGTGGAAGAAGAAGCTTTAGCTTCTTAGTGCAGTGCTTCAACCCGCTGCGCCACCAGGGAGGGCCATTTTTTTAAGTTTGCTTTTGTTTCCCTTGTCATTGAAGTTAGACTCCCAAATACTTTGAATTGTTTATGCTTGATGTCCAAAAGTGTGCCACCTGTATTTCTTTTAGATATATTACGGGGTTTTTTTATATATTCATTTCATCCATTTTGAATTTTTATACATGAAGTTAAGTATGGATCTAGTTTCACGTTTTTGCATGTAGCTTATCCATGTTTTCCAATACTATTGGTTAAAATATTCATTGTATGGCTATTGCCTCCTTTGTCATAGATTTAACTGTCCATATTTCTGTGGCTTTATTTCTTTCTAGTCTGTTCCATTGGTCTTACTTGTGTTTTTTTCCCCCCCCAATACCATATTGCTTTGATTACTGTTGCTGTGTAATATAGTATGAAGTCAGGAAGTGTGATGCCTCCATTTTTCTTCTTTTTTCACTGTTTGAACCTTTGGTATAAATTTTATAATGTATGTGTATGTTACATTTCCTTGAAAAAGTCAGTAGAACTTTGATACAATGTATTACATTGAACCCATAAATTGCTTTAGGTAATAAGACCATCTGAACAGCGTTTATTCTTCCAGTCCATGAGCATGAGTCCATTTTTTTTGTAACTTTTATTGTCTTTAACATAGTCTTACAGTTTTCAACCTACTTCATCTATGTTTATTCCCAAGTATTTTTGTTTTTGGGTGCTATTGGAAGTGGAATTCTTTTTATTATTTCTAATTCACTGTTTGCATATAGAAATGCAATTTGTATCCTGTCCCTATACTGTATTCATTAATTATTTCTAGTTTTGGTTTTTGTTTTTTAGTAGTCTTTTGAGTTCTCTTTGTATGTGATCATGTTACTTGTAAATAGTGATAGTTTCACTTCTTTTCTTCCAATTTGGAGTCTTCATCTTTTTCTTGCTGAATTGTTCCAGCTAAGGGCTTCCAATTTTCTGTTAAAAAAGTAGTGGTGAAAGTGGATATCCTTTTTTTTTTTCTTGCTGAATTGCTCCATCCAAGTTGCTGCAAAAGACATGTGTTCCCTTTTTTTGGTTGCTGAGTAATATTCCATTGTGTATATGTACCACATCTTTTTAACCCAGTCATCTACTTTTGGGCATTTGGGCTGCTTCCATATTTTTCCAATTATAAATAAAGCAGCAATAAACATGGGGGTACATGGGGTACATGACTTTGTATGTGAGACTTATATTTAGAAAAGTTCTGCTTATTCCCATGTTATTGACAGTTGTTGAATTATGAATAGATGTTGAATATTGGGGAAGCCTATTTTGGCATCTATTGAAATAATCTATGAATTTTTATTTTTTGATCTGGTAAATGACTTTAATTAATTTGCTTATGTTGAGCCATTCTGCATCCTTGAGATGAAACCCACTTGATGTGATAGATTATTCCCTTAATGTGTTGTTCTACTGCTTACTAGTATTTGTTGAGAATTTTGTGCATCAATATTTATCAGCCTTTAATTTTTTTTTTTTTTTTTGTTCTACCCCTTTTTTGTTTTGTGATCAGGATATTGTTATCCTCATAGAATATGTTTTATGGAGCATTCTACCCTTTTCAGTTTTTTTGAAAAGCTTGAAAAGCTTTTTGAAGGTTTGATAGAGTTGACTGGAGAAACCATCTGATCTTGAACTTTTGTTCTTAGATTCTTTATTATTTTCAATTTCTGCACCTGTGATTGGTCTATTTAAACTATCTAATTCATCTGAGATCAGTCTTAGAGAGTGTATGAATCTAATAATCTGTCCAGTTTGTTTGCAAAGAGATGTCCATGTAAGTTCTTAAGATCCTTTGTACCTGCAGCAGTTATTGTAATTTTGTCTCATGTCTGATTATATTTATTTTCAGTTTATTTTCTTGTTGTTTAGTGCTTTTTTAAAAGATTTATTTACTTATGCTTAGAGAACTGGGGTACAGGCCAGAGGTGTGGCAGATGAGAGAATTCACCAGAGACAGAGTGGGGAGCAGAACATACAGATACACAAAGTACACTGCTGAGGGGAGCAGGGGGTGGGTCAGAAGAGGTCTGCCCCACCATGTGGGTCAGCTCCCTGATCCAGGAATCAAACTCATGCAGCAGTGGCTACTGATAGCTTTATAGTGCTGTGCTTTAACCTTTTGTACCACCAGGGAGGGCCCTGGGTGGGCTTCTTTTTTTTAATGTGGGTCTGTATTGTCCACAATTTCCCTTATACTACTTTTTGCATATCTCAAAAGGATCTGGTAGCTTCTCTTCATTTTCAGTAGTCTCCAGAAACATGATTTCTTCAATTCAATTCAGGAGTTATTTAGAAGCATTTTGTTTATTCTCCATGTTTTGGTTTATCCTTAGGATTCTTTTGGGAGGGGGCAATTTTTAACTCTATACCATAGTGACCTGAGATGTTTGATAGTTTCTGTTTCCATTATTTTCTGAGATATGTTTTGTGCCAGCGTAGAGTCTATTCTGGACAATATTTCATACTCACTTGAAAAGAATATGTATTCATTTCTTTTGGGATGGAAAGTTCTGTAAATGTGTATTATCATACAGGATTTCTAAGAGCTTACCAAGACCTCATAGTTTCATATCAGTCCACTTCCCCTCAGTTTACCTACTAGATCATATCTTCTAGCTTTGAAATCTCTGCATGAGTGCAGAGTGAATAAAACCTTAAATCTTTTAACATTCTTAAAGATATGTTGGGTTTCTTAGGTCTCTGATGAAATTCTTTGTTATTTGTTGAATCACTTTTCACTCAAAGTATTGTAAGCGAACATCTCTTCCTATTAGTATTACATCTATTTTGTGTGGTGTAATAATCTGGAGCCATTCTGCCTCTTCTTTCTTGCCACCCATCTTCATTCCTTCTTGTTTTGTTTTTTTTTTTTTTAAGATTTATTTATTCATACAGAACTGGGGTACAGGCCAGAGATGTGGAGGTTGATAGGATTCACCAGAGACAGAGTGGGGAGCAGAACAGGCAGATGATCAAAGTACACTGCTGAGGGGAGCAGCGGGCGGGTCAGGAGAGGTCTGCCTCGCCATGTGGTCACCTCCGGGGCAGGCGGGAATCGAACTCATGCGGAAGTGGCTTTAGCTTCTCAGTGCAGTGCTTTAACCCGCTGCGCCACCAGGGAGGGCCTCCTTCTTGTTTTTTAATAGCTATGAATTGCTTTCTGTGTTGTTATGCCAAGCACACTACCTTAGGCAATTAGAAATAATGAAAAAACCAATCAGCGAATGTTGAACCTTAACAACGTGCTTGGTGTTAAGATACAGAAAAAAGTTGATTATGATCTATTTTTAAGCCATTAAAATCTGTTGAGACAAATACATGCAAAAAATTATTTAAACCATTATACTGGCATAAACTAGGCCATAAACAAAATGTTACACGAGCCCAACAAAGAAGACTAATAAGTTAACATGATGGGGAGTTTCAGAAACTTAAAAGTAAAATGTTTAAAAATTATTAGACAGCCAGTGGAGTGAGAACATCACTGTAGTCCTTAATAATACGATGGGCACATCATATCAGGGTTGCTTCTGCCTTCACTTCCCTGTCAGAATTTTAAAGCATAAAAGTACTCAGACTGCCTATAGTCTCCCAGTAGACAAAAATAGTATCATCTTTGCCTTTTGACCATTATCAACCTTACCAATTGTGTTGGGTTAGAATAGTTCTTGAGGGCTGTTCACATCTGAAGTGACAGTTCATGTTTTAACACTTCATATCCAATACCTCAATTTTTCTACACTTGTAAATGGAAACATTCATTCTTTTAGTTAGCCTATTTATTAAAGGATCGCTAGTGAAAGGAAAATAGAAAATATGCCAGTGAAAATAAAGTTGAAAAAGTGCCACTAGTTGTTGTTTCTTTGTCCAATGAAATCTTTTCTAAACTAATTTAAATTATAGCATCCATTTGAGGGTTTAACATGAAATAAGCCATTTATGAATGATAGGCCAAAACAATCTGAAAGCTTAGTAAATTAATTATATCATGATATGAAAAATATTCTGTAATAAATTTTGATTTGAGAATGTTAAATAAATTGGGTTAGTCGTTAAGATTTTATAGGTCTAAGTGATTCTGGAACGTATTGTTGATTTGTACTAAACCAGTTAATTTGCAACATGCTTCAGTTTCATGAGTATTTACCATTTAAAAATATGACTGTTAGTCATGACTGTATCTTTTAAAAGCTTAATAAATGTAAATATAAATATAAAGGAATTATTCCCAGATATAAATTGTTCTTATTATTTTTTTTTCCATTTTGGAAATTACAGTAGATATTCCTTATATCTTACATAGTACATGGAAGTACAACCTAGCTATCTTTAGGATTCAAATAAATGCCAAGCCTAAAAAGTATGTTAGCTAGAAATTTATTATTAAATATTTTTGTTAAGAAATACAAAGTTAAGCTGTCTTTGATATTTGCACTTTTCATTCCCTTTTTCCCAATGGCTTTTGACTATAAGACAGCAAGAGGGCAGGTTACCATACTTATATAAATCAGAAAATTGTACTTACATGATCAGCTCTCAAGACCATCTTTTGTTTAGTTGGGGTGCTGGCTTAGGTTATAGATGCCAAACCCACAATATTATAAAAGAGTGAATTCCTAAGGCCTTATTTGTATCCCAAGTACTCACTGGGAGAGTGAGGAGGGAGTATTAATTGTTAATTCCTCTTAGCATATATTTTACATTACTTCATGATAGATTGCTGTATCATATTGGAATAACCTAAATCTGGTTTAAAAGCCCTTACTTCATGGAATTTAATGCTGCTTTTCTTATCTTTTTGCTGTCTGTATATACAGAACCAGAGTCCAGAGGTGGAGCAATTAGGGAGGGTTGTGGAACTGGACAGTGACATGGTAGATATCACCCAGGAACCAGTTTTGGATTCTATGTTTGAAGAAAGCATGCCTGAGGATCAGGAACCTGTGTCTGCCTCAACACACATTGCATCTTCATTGGGAATAAATCCACATGTCTTACAGGTGAAGTTCTAACCCATCCTATTGCAGGAAGCCAAACTGTTTTATATCCCATGTGTAACATCAACCCTCTTGATTATTTATTAAGAGTATTGATTGCTCATTAGAATGAGAAAAGATAGCAATATAGTCTTGTTCTCCCATTCAGAGAGGGAAGTCTATATTGAGAATCAGAAAACCTTGAGTCAGTCTTTTTTTGTAATTATTACTGTGAAATTAGATAAATCACTGTGAGGACTGGGTTTTTTCTTTTGTTTTTTTTTTTTTATAGATTTATTTATTTATGCATACAAGAACTGGGGTATAAGCCAGAGGTGCGGGGGGAGGAGGGTTGAGAGGATTCACCAAAGACAGTGGGGAGCAGAACAGGCAGATCAACTGAAATATACTGCTGAGGGGAGCAACAGGCAGGCAAGACAGAAGAGGTCTGTTGCACCATCGGGGTCATCTCCCTGGCTGGGAATCAAACTGTGCCGCAGTAGCTTCAGACAGTTTCATAGTGCTTCGTTTTAACCCCTTGCACCACCAGGGAGGCCCCTATTGTTGTTTTTACAAAGTATTTATTTCACAGTTTGGTTCTGAGGGTCTGAAAAAGTGCCCCGCAAAAGTTAAAAGTTTAAAAAAATTGAAGCTACAGTTTTTCATATCTTTCCCAACTTGCCCCTGCCTTTTGGCATATACAAATTTTGTCTTTGACTTATATTTGACTTAATTATTTACTCAGCAATATATAAACAACTGGTACATACCAGCCTCTGTAACAAGACTATTGAGGAGATGAGTAGTGTTATCACTTCTGTCCTTCAGCACATGTAAAGTCAGTCACACAACTCTGCTCAAGCTCTGGACAAAGCCTTGAGGCAGAACAATGTGTTAGTTGTTGTAAGCTATATTTTTATTCTATAGACTTGGGGTTTGGAGGCATACATTCATTCTGTAGATATTGCCTTTTTAGATCATGAAGGCATCATTGTTTGCTGATGAAGAAGATGTAGATATGGCCCTGGATCAACGCTTCAGTCGCCTTCCTTCTAAACCAGATACTTCACAAGAAATCTGTTCTCCCAGACTCCCCATTTCAGCATCCCACTCATCGAAATCCCGTTCATTAGGTATCGTGAAAGATGCTGTTTTACAAGATAGCTATAAATTCCTGCTTTTCACATATCTTATTCTAGCAAAATCCCTGTAAAGTTATAGGACAGGAAGATACCAGGAGGAGATGTACTCTTATAAAAATAGCTGTTATGGGAGACCAGTTTTTTAAACTACAACTAGTTTTTTAGTACAGATGCAGAATTGTATAGAGAAAAAGCATTTATGTTTTGTTTAGGGTCATCTTTTTATATGCTTATGAAGGTGTATTAGGTAGTTAGGATTTCCTAAAATTTATTTTTCAAGATTTATTTATTTGTGCATAATAAATCACCAAAGGTGCAGGGGGTGAAAGGATTCACCACAGAGAGAGTGTGGAGCACAACAGGCAGACTGACAGAAATCCACTGCTGAGGGGAGCAGCAGGCGGGTCAAGAGAGGTTTACCATGCATGTGAGTCACCTCCCTGGCTTGAGATCAAATTTGTGCTGCAGTGGCTGCACGTTGCTTTATAGTGCTGTGTTTTAACCTGTTGCACCACCAGGGAGGGTCTCCTAAATTTTAAAACTCACATTTTTATCATATTTAGGGGAGTCAGCAAGTTGTCCTGCACTCTTTTGTGCAATCCTGAAACTATTTCTTGTTGCTTTCCTGGAGCAATTGTTCCTTCTTATAATACACAAAATTTGTTAGATTATTACTTTACTTAAACCTTCAAAGCACCTTCAGAATTGATTACATCTAATTGGTAAATCTTTCCCTTTTCTAGTAGGCTTATAATTTTGTGAGACTAGAAATAGTATATTGATGTCAATTTAGGACTTAAGCAATTGTAATTTCAAAATATTTGGAAAGCCATATTGTCTTAAAAATTAAATATTTATGGAAACAGCCCAAATGACGAAAAGTAGATGACTGGATCAAAAAGATGTGGTGCATATACATGATGGAATATTACTCAGCAACCAAAAAAATAAACACATGCCTTTTGCAGCAACATGGATGGAGCTGGAAAAGATCATGCTTAGTGAAATAATCTAGACTGAAAGGGATGGTTTTACTCATAGCAGGAGTATAACAGACCAGGCGAGAAAATAATAATAATAATGAACAGCTATATACCAGAGACATTTTGTGGGGGTGGAGTGGGAAATGGGATCAAAAACAGTGGGGGAAAAGAAATGCACTGCACTATGGTGATGGCACACGGTGATTTGGTGATGGGAAGCCCACAGGGATTACAACTGAGATGAAAGAATACACAAAATGATATAAAAATAAACTATTATATATTTTTTAAATTTTTAAATGTTTAGTTTCCTTTAACTTTACTTTTTCAAAAACTAGTAAAACATCAGATAAATATCCATTCATAACACCTTTATAATTGGCAATACCTGAAAATCTAATAATTTAGTAGCTAACTACTTATAGGAGACAATATCCTTATAAAATTGAAAAGCAAAAGATAATAGAACTATCCTTCTGAAAGGCACATCTGCAATCACAAGATGCCTCAGTGGTTTTTTTTTTGTTTGTTTGTTTCCTTAAGGTCTATTATTGATTATTGTAGTGATAGAGATTTGGAATTTGACCTATATTGAGAGAGTTATATTGGTATTCTGATAAGGATATGAATTTAGGTATCAGATATACAGCTCAGTCCTTCCATTAAGTAGCTTTGTAGATTTGAACTAGTTACGTTTTCAAGCCTAGTTTTCCCACCTATAAAATGAGAATGACAACAATACTCATCATTTAAAGTTAATAAAGGATGAAATGAAAGAGTGTATAGAGGTGACTTATACAAGAGTCTGCAGTTAAGTACTAGATAACTTTCTAAGGTAGTAGTATTTGTTATTAACATTATTACTTCGTTTATATCATCATAATTAGAATTTTGGCCTGATTTCCTGGTCAAAATAGTAGTTTCTGCAGAATATGGCTTGATTTCTTTTTGGTCCATCCATATTTGATTTAATCATTTTGGTGAGGCTATAATCTCTGCCTCACTGTTTTACAAAAAACAATAGCTCGTATTTTCTAATAACCTTTTTTTCCCCTCATCATAGTTGGTGGGTTACTACAATCAAAATTTACAAGTGGAACTTTTCTTTCACCAAGTGCCTCTGTGCAAGAATGCCGTACTCCCAGAACATCATCTTTGATGAATATCCCATCCACATCCCCTTGGTCTGTCCCCCCAGCCCTTACCTCTGTGTTTACTGTACCTAGTCCAGCCCCCGAAATTCAGTTGAAAACAGTGGGCACACGCAGACAACCAGGCCTCGTTCCTCTTGAAAAGTCTGTCACATATGGCAAGGGAAAGCTCTTGATGGACATGGCCCTGTTTATGGGACGCTCATTTCGAATTGGTTGGGGCCCCAATTGGACTCTTGCTAACATTGGAGAACAGTTGAGTGGTTCTCATGAACTGGAAAATCCTCAAATTGCCGACTCTTTGGAATATGGATTCCTGCCTAATCCAGTAGCTGTTAAATCGTGAGTTATAATTTCTTAATTCTTTTTGAGAAAAATAGAATGGTAGATAAGAAAAACTTGAGCATCAGGAGAACCAAATGCCATAGGTTTGTGATTGTTCTGTATATATTTGTAACATAATCTTAGGTAGCAGAAGATATTTGTGTAATTAAAAACTAGGGTGATTAATGAGTATATACTACTTACTTAATGGTTAGATAACTGAAAAGATACAAATCCAAAGCTGAGCCTACAACATTCCTTGGATTGTTACTCTCTTTATTGTCATCCTTCATTGTTTTTGTTTTTCCTACCTTTTTGCTTATTTGTGAAAAAAAATTTGTCATTTCTTCATATATGTTATACTCTCAAACCCATTACTATAAGTGAATGTATCAACTGTGGCCGAACTATGTTTATGAAAGTAAGGTCACAGCTGATAACAATGTATGTTATCAGTTTCTGCACAATTTCATGCCTTAACATTTCTATTTTGTGCTTATTATTCTATGTATATATTTTATACATAAACGTGCTATAAAGGTTACTTATATGTTTACTGATAGTTATTATGTAATATATGTGTAGTTGTTACATTGTGTAAGATATGAAACATTTTCCTATTTTTATAATTGTGGCAATGTTTGATATTTTTACTATGGATTAAGTGACTGTGGTCACCTATTATTTCTCTTTTTTTTTTTTTTAATTGATTTTAGCCTCCCAGTTAAGAATTTTGATCCTGGTCATGACATGATGTCATGGTACTTATAGATTCTTAATATCAGTCTTAAAAACTGGATCCAAGGGTTGACAATACACTCATTTTAATTTAGAGTTGGCTCTTCAGTATCTCTAAGCTTACCTAACCTTTCTAAATACAATTTGAAAAACCAGGTAATACAATAGTTTTTGATCCCTGGATTTCATAGTATCCAGATACCCCCTGAAGCAGGTTCTTGGTCTCGCTGTGTTAATGCCTGTATTTATTATAACCTGTCTTAAGAAGTCTTTGGGTTCTAGATGCATGGGTCAGATAATTTATTTACTCAATATCTTGACATTAGGAAACATAACTTCTTGAAAGTATTTTTAAAATGTTTTGTAATGCTGTTTATAATCATACAAAGAAACAAAAGTTTGATAAGAAATTTGTAGCATCTTCATTTTCTTTGTTGTCATTTGCCCCTTGTAGCCTAACCGAGTCCCCATTCAAAGTTCATTTGGAAAAACTCAGTTTGAGACACAAGAAGCTGGATGAAGACCTACAATTATACCAGACACCTCTGGAACTCAAACTGAAACATAGCACTGTCCATGTGGATGAATTGTGTCCTCTCATTGTCCCCAACCCAGGAGTTGCTGTCATTCATGACTATGCAGATTGGGTTAAAGAAGCATCGGGAGACCTGTTGGAAGCACAGAGTGAGTAGTATACACTAATCTTCTACCCTTTGTGATTATAGGAATAGGGATGTGTTCATTGGTGGACAAACTTCCTTACATCATTGTAGTTGGTGGATACTTAAGCTTTAGCTTGTATGTAACTAAATGAGCAAAGGCCCACTCAAGAATTTACATCATCAAACTTCCTTTTTGTTTTCCTTTTTCAGGAGCCTTTAGCATAGTAATTAAGAATATAGAATTAGACTGAGATTTCTTGGATTTAAGTCCTGATTCTGCTACATATTGCCTGTAACTTGGATCTGGTAACACTAATACTTCAGTTGTCTTACACATAAAATGAAGGTGATAACTACTGTATAATTTTGATGTATAGATTAGTTGGCTTACTCTTAAGTGCTTTGAACAGTATCATGTAACCTCAATAAATGTAAGCTGTACCTATAGCAAGAGAAGTACCTCAAGTTTTTAGAGCACTTTATATTTCCAAAAGTATTTTTTAAATAACTTGATCAAATAAAAGACTTTTGAGATTATTTTAGCCTTAAAAAGGATAAAGGAAATTGTTTAAAGATCATAGGGGTTATATTTATTTAGGTAAATACAAATGTACTTAGAAATAGAATGAGCATACAATTATATCACACCTCTGGAATTTGTAAATCATAGCTGTGTGAGGTGAGACAAGTTGCAGAATATCAACTTGAGTGGTTATTTGAGGATTTTGTTAATTTATTATAACTAGATACACTCTCTAGGGTTATTTTAAGACTTTATATTATTGCTTGACTTTTTGTTTATCCTTCCTTAGTTGTGAAGCACTGGAGCCTAACATGGACATTATGTGAAGCTTTATGGGGGCACCTGAAGGAGCTTGACAGCCAGTTGGATGAGCCCAGTGAATATATTCAGATTCTGGAGCGAAGGAGAGCTTTTTCTCGCTGGCTATCCAATACTGCTGCACCCCAGATTGAGGAGGAAGTCTCCATAACCCGAAAAGACAACCCTGTGGAAGCTGTCTTCAGCTATCTCTCAGGCAAGAGGATCAGTGAGGCCTGTTCTCTGGCCCAGCAGTCAGGTAGGGCATTTGATCCTTCCCTGTACCCCTCCTGCCTACTTTGAATTCACTGTCTATACACCTTAGTTGTTGATTTGCCTTTGTCTAGCCTACGTTTGGCCGGAAACATTGCTGGTTCTTCCAGGATAGGTATTGTGTCTTCTAGTTTTCTCTTTAGAGCATTATATAATAAATAACATGTTAAACCATACACATAAAAATTAATTCTATGTATTAGATACACCTTTGTAGTAAAACTGGAAAATGCTGGTAAGTAAAAAAATCAATAAATCCAAGTCACTTAAATCCAGTACTATTCACTATAAATATTTTAGTGTACAATTTGTACTTAAACAGTTTTACTTTTTTAATATATGAAGCATATACACATATGTGCAGAAGGCAAGTATAATATGTAAACTTTCAAAGATGTTAACCTGACATATATACTTTTTTTCATATAATACATTACAAGGATCTTATATAAGTAGATACAATAGTTAAGTGCTTCTTGTATTTTATATGTAAATGTGCCATATTACCAAATTCCTTGGCACTTAGGTTTTTGTTTACTACTTGAACCTCTAAACATATATGCTTTGCACTAATAAACTTATTCAAATGAATACATAGAATTTCTGGACTAAGATGTTTACTTGACTTTCTATTTTAGAATCTCCCATACATATTTGTTCATTTAAGTACTTAAGTACTTTTAGTACTTGATGACTATCTAGAGATGAATCTATAAAAATAAAGGATAATCTGGTTCAAGATAATCTGTATAATCAGATCAACTCTTGTTTATTAGAGCTTAATTTATCTGAAGCCAACATCAGGTGGATTTCTTTTTGTAAAGCTCGCCCAATTTGGAACAAACACAGGAAAAACTATACTCAGTTGCCTAAATAACAAATAGTCTCTACATATTTAACTCAGTACCTTTTGTGATCTTCATACATTTGTATAGTAAGCACTTGTTTTCAGGATTGACAATCTATAAAGTTATACAAATTACAGATCATAAGGGGGTAATGTTATGCTTACCAACACATAGCGGAAAAAGATCTTGCTGAGTACCAGTCCCATCCTTAGATTGAAGTCATTCACAAGGTTACATTAGCACTACCTTTCAGGTTACTAAAAACTTCTTCAACAAGCCTGACGCAGGGTTCATAGGACAATTGCACAGAAAATGAAGAATGTAGAATACTTGGTTAACACGATCCACCAATGTTAGCTGATATCTACCCAACAGGAAAAATTACCTCAAATCGATAACCTAAGCATCTAAAGAAATTAGCAGAAGAGCAAACTAAAACCAAAATTAGAAGAGAGGAAATTAAAATAAAGCAGGAAATTAAAATAAAGCCTACAACACAAATCAGTGAAAACAAAAACATAAAAATAATAGAAAAATCAAGAAAACCAAAATTCTTTGAAGAATGTTTACAAACTTTTAGATTGACTGAAAAAAAAGACACAAATTACCAAACATAAAAGGACAAACATTGCTATAGCCCTACAGAAAAGGGAATACTATGAGAAATTCTTTGTCAGCAGTTTAACAACCTAAATAAAAATTAACAGATTCCTAGGAAAATATAAATTAGCTGACTTAATGAAAAAATAGAAACTCTAAATAGGCCTACCGTAAGTAAAGTAGCTGAAATAATTAAAACTCTTCTCTCAGAACAGTCAAGAGTTGAATATCTCAGCTGGTAAACACTATCTTAATGTTTAAGGGTGAGATAATACTAACTCATAATTTTCCCAGGATGTAGATGAGGAAGCACTTTCCAACTTATGATAACATTACTCTGATATCAACATAAATCTATGAAAACCTGTAGGTAATATCATATTTAATATGAAAGACGGAATGATTTCACTCTAAGATGGGGAATACCTTTTGTGTACAGTACTATAATGTACATGTACCTTGTCCATACAGACAAGATAAAGAAGCCTAAGTCATACAAATTAAAAAGGTGTCACCTAGCATCCTGCTATTTCTCAGTCTATGCAAGGTCTATGAAAAGTCAAGGATTGGCAGAATCTGATTTGTTGGTTAACGGTATGCTCAGATCAGAAGGAGATGATCATGACAAATAATTGATTCAAGGGAAATTTTCAGGAACTAGAGTTTCTAGTCCCCTCACATTTTTTTTTTTTTAAGATTTATTTATTTGTGCATACAGAACTGGGGTACAGGCCAGAGATGCAGAGGGTGAGAGGATTCACCAGAGACAGAGCGGGAAGCAGAACAGGCAGATCAACGAAGTACACTGCTGAGGAGAGCAGCGGGCGGGTCAGGAGAGGTCTGCCGCACCATGTGGTGACCTCCGGGCAGGCGGGGATCGAACTCATGAGGAAGTGGTTTTAGTTTCTCAGTGCAGTGCTTTAACCCGCTGCACCACCAGGGAGGGCCTCCCCTCACATTTTAGTTAAAATCTTTTTATTGCCATAGCCCTTTGTACTTAAAAAAAATTTTACTAAAAGAGATTATTGGTTTTGTAAGAGTGAGAGTCAACTAGTCTCTGTACCATACACATATTTTCCCTTTAGGTTTAGTTTACCATTCTCAGTGTCATTAGATAGGACATTTGATTAGTTGGGTATATTCTCAATTACATCACATAAGTTTTTTCTACAAGCTTGAATCCCATGATATTTTCCTCCATTTTACAGATAAATTACCTTGTCTAGGGTAATCCTGTCATTGAACTCTGTATACTGTATAGTACATATGACATTTAGGTTAAATATTGTAAAAATTTTCTACACAAACAGAAAATAATGTAAGCTCTTGATCACTGTTTTGGCACTACTGTAGAAAACAGTCATAGGTGTTAAGTTCACCCTATTTAAGGGTTAGAAGAAATACAAGTTTCCCCAAATCGAAATCCTCAGTAATCACTAGAGAACTTCTGTTTCTCTTGTAGGTGATCATCGTCTTGCCCTTCTTTTATCCCAGTTGGTGGGTAGCCAGTCAGTCCGTGAGCTCCTTACTATGCAGCTGGTGGATTGGCATCAGCTCCAGGCTGACTGTTTTATCCAGGATGAGAGATTGCGCATCTATGCCCTACTGGCTGGAAAACCGGTACTTTCCTCTTTATAAATTGAGTTGTTCTCTTATTTTACTGAGTTTTGAGAATTGTTTACATATGTCTGGATATGTATATGAATTGCAAATATCTTTTCTCAGTCTGTGACTTGTCTTAATTCTTAGTTTTAGTATGTTTCATGATCATAAGTAAGCAACTTATTTTTTATTTTTAATTGAAATATTTCAGTTATAAAGGACTAGCATATACAATATAAAAATTAGCTATATAGAAAATAAATATTAAAATTCATCACAGTAATAACTATAACTTCTAATATCATGGTAAAAATGTGTCTACTTCCAGACATTTTTTTAATTCTCCATTTCCCCTTTCTCATTCCTAACTTAATTGAAGTAACAGTGCGTTACATGTTTAGAGTATTCATTGTTGAGGGTCAGCACATATTTGTACTACATTAAGTTCTCTGCTAAAAGTACAAATTTTATCTTTTACCATAACATTCTTCCCTTTCCCCAATTTATCCAATAGTTGGTTTTAAATTAAATTTTATTTTTGTCTTATTCAGCTCATTTCTTTGTGTTTGTCATCTTATTAAAGTCAGTTTCTAAAAAATTATATAGCTGGTCAGAATTTATACACACCTGTATGCTAGCAGCTGAGGGGTACTCCTCCACTTAGTGGTTCTCATCTCAGCACTGATTGTCTAAATGTACCCTCTTACCTGTCATCAAGGCACTATATTTTATATTTGGATCATTAATACTGCCTTCTAGATCACTTAAAATATTACTTGGATAAGTAAATAACTTGGAAACTGGGTATAATAAGTGAAACATATAGCTGTAATACTGATTTTTGTCTCCTGCAGGTGTGGCAGCTCTCAGAACAGAAACAAATCAATGTGTGTTCTCAGTTAGATTGGAAACGCTCCCTGGCTATCCATCTTTGGTATTTGCTTCCACCAACAGCTTCCATTTCCAGGGCTCTTAGCATGTACGAAGAAGCATTTCAGGTATATGTGTCCAGTTGAGCTAAGGAAGAGTCCTTGTGGGAATTACTTTAACTATCATCTAATTGAAATGTACCCAGGAAGTCTTATGGGAGACTTTCTTTTCTCCTGTCTTTAGACTTGGCTACTTTAAAACATCTTCAAGTATTTACTTAATTTTATTTAATAAGAGGTTTCCATAACTGACTCCTACTGCTGTTTTCCCACCCCTAGTATCAGAGAATTTTTCTGTATTCCTAATTTTCTCTTACTTCTTTTGAGATTTCCCTCAGATCTGACCTGAATATATATTTCTTGTCAGTGCTAAGGTTAAAAGGAAAAAAGGTTATTTCTGTTTTTAAATGCCATCTTCAGTTATTTTACTATTGTCTATTATCTTATATGTTATTATCAGAATTATTTGTCAGAAAAAAGAAAGCACTAAAAGTGAGTGTAAAAAGAATTGTGGCAAGAAAAGGAATGGAGGTTTAGTGAGAGCTATATGAAGTGTTTCCTAATCCACTAAAAATTGATCAAAATAAATTTAAAGTCCTTCTAGGATGTTGCTTTATTTTTAATACATGTGTCTAAGTAATTGAGACATTACAACATCTTATGAAACACTAACAACTGATAATATCATTTTCTCAAAATTTTTCTCTTCAGAATACCTCTGAGGGTGACAGATATGCCTGCTCCCCACTTCCTTCATACCTGGAAGGATCTGGCTGTCTAATAGAGGAAGAACAAGACTCAAGGAGACCACTTCAAGATGTGTGCTTTCACCTTCTAAAACTCTACAGTGACAGGTAAATCAGAGTCTTGTATTTTAATCATTGATGACTCCATGAGTTTGAGGGAGTCCTTTTTTGAGTCCTTTGCCTGTCATATGCCACCATATTGCGTAAGTCCAAAATATAACTTGACACTAGAGTACAAAGAGCTATGGCGCTAAAGTTAGAAGTTTTAAAATTATTTTAATTAACTTATTTGAATGTAAATCTGCTGACAAGATAACATTTATATTATCCCCAAAAAAATTCAAAGTAGTGATTTCCAAGAATCTAGTAGTTTTTTTGTTTTGTGTTTTGTTTGTTTGGTATGTAGTTCAGAGGTGGGGAGGAGAGGGTAACGGGATTAACCAGAACAGGTAGTTTTACTGAACTATACTGCTAAGGAGAGCAGCAGACAAGACAAGAGAATCTCGTCTTCTGTGCCATAGGTGGGTTAGCGCCCTGTCTGGAAATCAAACTCAGGCCTTATTGGTGATAGCGTGAGACTTAACCCCTACGCCACCAGAAAGGCCCTGTCAAGGATTTTAAGTGAAGACTTAATGTGCTGAATGACTTTTTGTTGCAGTAGATTAGTTTTGTTACTCTAGATTTTTAAATAATTGAGATTGTCCTATGTGTTATCTTTTGTGCCTGACTTTTTCACGCAATAACTTTGAGATCCATCCATGTGTATCAGGAGGATACTTTTTTGTTTTGTTTCTCTGTAATTTATTCATTTGCAGCACACTTTTAAAATTTAACCATTCTGGTAGTCATATAATGTTATCTCACTGTGTCTTTGTGTTTAATAAGAAATATAAAGTGGTTTACATACCATAGAATAATAGTGACACATTATCAGACCTAATCAGTTAGTCAAAACTATCTTAGAAATACTGAATTTTCTGTAGTCGTAAAAGCTTGCATATCATTTAAGTTCTTCAAATAACTTTCTTTTAAACAGAAAAATCTACTTTAACATAGTGTTTTGAAAAAATGTGCATAGTAAAATGAAGAGAAGCTACCTTGTTTGTTAGTAGGTACTGTAACCTGGATGAACCTAGAAGTGTTTTGTAATAGTCTAAGAGAGAGGTTTTGGAAGTCTGTAATGCTTCTGTTCTCTGTTATCTACCTTTGTTGTCTGCTGACCAAAATAGTTGACCTATTAAGTACAGGTGATCTGCCTGATAACACTCAGTACTTACTTCATTGCAGACATTATGATCTCAACCAGTTGCTGGAACCCCGAAGCATAACAGCAGATCCTTTGGATTACCGCTTAAGTTGGCACTTGTGGGAGGTACTTCGGGCTCTTAACTACACCCACCTCTCAGAGCAGTGTGAAGGTGTGCTGCAGGCCAGTTATGCTGGCCAGCTGGAAAGTGAGGGACTCTGGGAGTGGGCCATCTTTGTCCTCCTGCATATTGACAACTCAAGGTGAGTGAGAACCCATTAAACCCAGGGGGCATATCTAGCACTACAAGTCAGTACAAAGGAATCAGTCTGTTAGGCTTTAGTGAGTGTGGTTTCAGAATGTATTCTGTGTACACCCTTGTGATAAGATAGTTCAACCTGCAGTTTTTATTGCCTATCTATTCATGTAAACAAGTTAGAAATAAGATTGCCTTTGATTAAGTGCCATTTTATGCTATTTATCATAAGGCCTTTCCATAAACTGAGAAGGAGAGATCTTTGTGAACTGCAGTGATTAGATGCATACTTACAGGAGATAAGATTCAAACAACCTATAAGGTTGAAATAGGAAATAAGTAGAAAGGGGAGGATGTACTTGGGTGGGGCAGTTTATGCTCACACATTCACTTGAATGTGACATGTTTAGAATTATGCAAAAATAGAACTGGTTGAACTGCCTCACTGTGGCCAAGAAGTGTTTTGATGGATTGGCAGGGAGGACCCCTGCTCTTTATCTTTCTTGTTGACTTTCGCCCTCTCTTTCATCATCGTATTTACCTTGTTTAGATTATATGTTTTGATTCCTTGTCCTGAAAGATCCCTTTTTTTCATGGTGCAAATGAGATAAAGTTGGAGGTGTTTTTGTTAAAGGCAGTGAATGGCATTACAATAATAAATAAAAACACTTATATAGTGCTTTGTTATGTAGTGCTTTTAAATATGTTTATACTCTTTTAAGTACTTTATACATATGTTAACTCATTTAATACTAAAAATGAACAAATGAGATAGGCACTTATTGTCATCTGTTTACAAATAAGCAGTCCAAGGCACAGTAAATTCAAGGTCACAGTTAGTAAATTGCAGAGTGAGACCTTCAGCTTAAGACACTCAGAGTCTACACTTTTACTCACTGCCCTACGCTGTCATGTTGTATGTTATGGGAAGAAGTTGAGTTTTGTGGCTAGAGCTATGTAAATTCTAGATCCACCATAGACTCTCTGTGATATAGGGTCAAAAGGGTCACATACTCACTTTTGTTTTTGTTTTTTAATCTGTAAATCCCTATTCAAAAATGATGGTGAGAGTAGAATAAAAGTATAAATAATCTAGCATAGCCTTCCTTTAAGGAATTTTTGTCTCCCTTACAGTAAGCAAAAAGATCCCAGAATTTTCTTTTGAATGTATTTAAATGTACTCATAGGTAATTTCACATGATGAAAGACTGACTAGTTTGAGGACTGATGACTCAGAGTGGCCTGTGGGAAAATAGATCTTATTCCCTTGAAAAAAAATGTTTTTGAAAGAGACAGCTGTGATGAGATTGGAAGCCCTTGAAAAGCATGAGTTCAGAAAAGCGTCTTTAGAGTAAAATCATTTTGGTCTAAAATGAAAATGTCAGGTCTTTTGGCCCAGACAGAAAAGGACTGTACTTAAGGGACCTTGAGCTCAGAAGAGTGAATTTAGATTTCTATCTAGAGATAGAAAGAAAATGAATTAAGAAGATTGATAGCTTTGAGAGAGAAAAAAAGGTTGGAACCAGAAGAGACCTTATCTTTAAAAGAAACTACTTTGTTTCTTTAAATTGACCTTATGAAGAAAAGGGAGGAAAAGGTGGTTGGGAATAAACTACAGAGGACTTCCTCTTTGGAGTCTTAAGTTTCCACCTTTCTAATTCTTGATCTACTGATGCTTGCTGTTCTTTCATTTAAAAAATAAATGCCTCTATGATGTCTTTTGATGATTCATTGATTGATAGATTAAGTGTGAAGTTTGAAGTGATCTCCTAAGGGTCAAGATTTGCAATTTAAGAAAATGCCCCAAGCCAAGGCAGCCTTTTCCATCAGTAAGAATGACATTTATTCCAACTTACATTTCTTCTTATAGCATGCGTGAGAAGGCTGTTCGAGAGGTGCTTACTCGACACTGCCAACTATTGGAAACACCTGAATCTTGGGCTAAGGAGACTTTTCTGACCCAGAAGCTTTGTGTTCCTGCTGAGTGGATTCATGAGGCTAAAGCTGTGCGAGCACACATGGAATCTGACAAACACTTGGAGGCCCTCTATTTATTTAAAGCTGGGCACTGGAATCGCTGCCATAAACTCATCATCCGGCACTTAGCTTCTGGTAAGTGCTCATAACAGGGGCCTATGTCTTCTAAAATCACCTCTACTTTTTCTAATCACTGAATGACATGAGTCAGACCAGAGGTGATACCTAGTACAAGCCATGACCAATTTGAATCAAATCACACTTTGTAAAAACTGCAGACCAGAAAAAGAAGAGCAGGAATATATCACAGTATTATCACTTTACGTTTTGATAGGAATATTCTTGATGTTGAGCCTTTTTTTACTTGATGAAACTTTATTCAACGACAACAGAAATACTTATTTGGGGAACTTGTTTGCCAGAAATTGTTCACCTTTTTTTTTTTTTCTTCAGAGAATTTCAAAATACTTCACATTCTCAAGTCTGACCTAACATTATTTCCCTGTCCTTCCTATCTTAGATGTCTGCCACATCCTTTGAACTTTTAGGAACCATGTACTTGTGCAGAGATAGTACTTAATGTTTTGTTTTTTCAGATGCCATCATTAATGAGAACTATGATTACCTGAAGGGGTTTTTGGAAGACTTGGCTCCTCCAGAGCGTAGTGGCCTAATCCAAGACTGGGAAACATCTGGGCTTGTTTACTTGGACTATATTCGTGTCATTGAAATGCTCCACCATATACAGCAGGTACCTGAGTTCCTTAAACCACCCCTTGACTTTCCCTTCCTCTGTTCTCCCGTAAGTCACAGAGACGTCAAAGGCCTAAGCAACCTTCCCCCCCCCCCCCCATTTTATTGGCAGAGAGAATCATGTCTGAGCAGGAGGGACATTTTGATGAGGCTAATTTGATGTAGCCATTTTGACAACTGTATCAATTTTTTGTATTGATTACCAAGTAGGATGTATAGTAGACATTTCTAAGGCTCATCCATGCCTAGGCTCCTCCCTTGCCTAGCTCTAGTTTGATTGAGAAGTTCAGGGGTGAGAGAGAAGTACAGAAAAGTCAGATTTGGTAAGAATCATTTAATACTTTATTTGGCATGTTATAAAATTGCAAATGTTATGGCTTTAATTTCCATTAACATTTCTTGAGTCATTCTCCATAGCCATAAGATAGATCTCCATTGCTTATAGCACAGAGAACAAAATCATAAATAGGATCCAAGCACTTTTGAAGCATTTACTTTTCACCCTTGCTTTAATTTCTCTCGCTTTTGTTTACATTCAGCTTGCCACACTAAATTAAACCAAACCTCCTTTTATTAATTACACTTTATTACTTCCAAGCACTCAGTATATTTTTCTGTAAGTGTACTTGACTGTACTATAGTTACACATATCTTTTCAGGCTGCTATTAACTCCTTTGGGGCAGACCTTCTTTATTTTAAGTCTAAATAAAAGCTATAGAATATAAAGAATTGAGTGCTAGAATCAGATCATTAGGTTCAATTCATTGGTCTTGTGACCTTGAGCAAGTTAGTTAACCTGTCCTTCTCATCTGAAGGGAATGGGGTCACAGATTATAATAGATAACTGACAGAGTTGTCACAAATATTAAACAAAATACATACAGTACTTTACATCAGTAAATGCTTAACAGTTGTTATCTACTATTATCCTAATCAAAGCTCCATCTACTTACACAGTGCCGTGCTTATAATATGCATCATTTAATAGATGTTATTTGGGGTAGATTAAAAGGATCATCCCTAAGTTATTACTAAAGAAACACTTAACTAATTGAACATTATCCATGTAGACAACCAAGTTATTGAGGACTTGCCATGTGTCAGCACTGGTGGATTTGGGATATAAAGGTAAACCATATGTGTTTTGCACTAGCAGAGTAACAATTTTTGTAGAGGAGTTAATAATACAGGTAAACCAGCAATTACTGTAGAGGGGTAAGTATGGGAATTAAACAAGAGTGCACCTAAACAGAGTATCTCAGTTAGCCTGAGGGAGTCAAAAACAGTTTCTAGAAGTGACATCTTTGTTCTTCCGAACAAAAAGGGAGGAAGGATAGTATATGATGCCTTAGTGGTGAATGTGGTATAATAATTTAAAAAGAAAAAAGGAAAGGAAAGGGAGAAAGAATAGGAAAATGTACTTCACCCAAAAATAGATGACTGGATTAAGAAAAGGTGATGTGTTTACACAGTGGGATATTAGTCAGTAATCAAAAAGGATAAACTCATGCCCTTTACAGCAGCATGGATGAAGCTCAAAGGTACACACACACACATGTATATGCATATATGCATACATGTAAGTATGTATGTATACGTGTGTGTGTGTGTGTGTGTGTGTGTTTGTGTGTAAATAGAAAAGTACTTTAGTAGAGGAAACATTGTGGGTAGAAGTCTAGAAATCAGAGACATGGTAAGTGCTTCCAGGGACCCTTTAAAAAATTAGTTGATTTTGGAGTAAGGAATGCAAAGGGGAACCATGTAAGTGTGGAAAGCTGCAAATGCCTCTTACCTAGATTGCTGCACTTGCCACCTAAGCAGTCTCCCTGTTTCTACTCTTACCTCTATAACTCATTTCCACATAGCAACGAGAGTGATCCGATAAATATCTGTCATCTTAACTCGTTTCTAAGACTTTTCAGTGGGGCCTCCCTGGTGGCGCAAGGGTTAGTTAAGTCTCAGCTCTATGAAGCTATCTGCAGCCACTGCAGCATGAGTTCAATACCTACAAGGGAGGTGACCTGCGTGGCGGAGCATTTTTCCTATACTGACTGCTGCTCCCCAGCTGTATATTTTAGTAGATCTGCCTGTTCTGCTCCCCACTCTGTCTCTGTTGAATCCTCTCACCTCCTGTACCTCTGGCCTACACTCCATTTCTTGTATGTATAAATAAAATAAATTTCAAAAAAGACAAACTTTTTAGTGAACTTATCTCAATTAGAACAAAGAGCACCTTAGCGTGTCTTCAAAAACTCTTTATCAGTTTTTACCTTTTTTATGCCTTGGACCCTCTTGGAAATCTGGTAAAAAAAAAAAAAATAGATCTCTAATGTTTCAAGTGCATAAAATTTAGAAAATTGCAAAGGGAACCAGTTATGTTAAAATACAGTTACTAAAATAACAAAAACTTAAAGGAAGTAGTGGGTTTTTTTTTTTTTAAAGATTTATTTGTATTTACTTGTGTGTACAAGAATTGGGATGTAGACCAGAGGTGTGGAAGGTGAGAGGCTTCACCAGAGACAGTGGGGAGCAGAACAGGCAGATCTGCCGAAATACACTGCTTAGGGGAATAGCAGGTGAGTCAGGAGAGGTCTGTTGCACCATATAAGGGTCAGCTCCCTGGCCGGGGATCTAACACATGTTGCAATGGTGGACGATAGCTTGATAGTGTTACACTTAAACCCAGGAGCCACCAGAGAGGCCCAGGAAATTGTACTTTATCAGCAAATAAATCAATAGCTATATAATGTGATATGAAAGTAACTGGTTTCTGTTGATAATAAAATCATAGTTACTTTTAATATCTGTGTTCATAACTAAATTAATTTTTAATTAGATATTAATAAATATATATCGTTTTCTAGTCTGAGTTCATAGACCCTTTGAATTTTAAGCATTCCAGAATATGATACCCTGCTGTATAAAATCTGTGTCTTCTCTTTTCTTTATTCCACATCTTACCACTTAAATTTTCTGTGTTATTAAACTCTGGGGGTTTTAGTTTTCTTTTTGCCTTGATTTTACTTGTCTCGCTCCTATTTATTAAGGCTTCCTCTGAGATATTGATCTTCCTCAAGCAAGCTTTTCCTGATTCCCCAATCTGAAGTAACCATCCAGTTTCTTTCTGCCACATCACCCTATTTGAATTATCTATGTGCCTTATGAATCTTTGAGGTTTACATTAATATCTGATAGTTCCCATGTTTTCTGTAAATTTCATGAGTGAAGATCTTACTTTCTCCTGCTTATCACCTTTTACAGTTAAGGTAAGGATCGGGTTAAGTGGGTGAAAAGGTAGTACTTATACAGATAGAATGGCATAAAGCCCGCAAAATTGTAGATTCAGTGAGAGAGATATGGGAAAATTGAATGAATTCTATGGAAAAGAAGGTGATGGGAGACATAATAAGTACTTAATAAAAGTTTGGTGGGTAGAGAGGAGCAGGGGAGGAGCCAAGAGTCATGTTTGAGACAAGTAGGGATTGTTGCTGGAAAGTTTTCAGAATGTAAAAAATAAAATTACAGATGTGCTTTTTCTAACAGTTGCTGTCTGCAGTGTGATAGGAAAAGGGATGTAGAAGAATGACACTTAAAATCAGACTCTTAAGATACTTCAAGTGAGAAGTAACAGTCACCTGAGCTAGGGGAATAACCATGGAAAAGGGAATGGAAAATTGGAATATTATGCTAGAATAAAGATTTAGAAATCATCAGTATATCAGTTGTAGTTGGAGCATAGAAGTAGATAAAACATAAGAAAAAATATACAGTGAGAAGAGGGTATGTTGGCATGTTAGGAAGAACTGAACTTTGGGAATCAAGACGCCTAAATTAAATGTTAGTTTGAGCTCCATCTCTTAGTAACTGTGCTCTTAAAGAGTCATACCATCTCTCTAAACTAAGATTGATCTAGACTTCTACTGCCATGTTAAAACTTGTTAGTTCATGATTCATGAACGGTGATTTCAAGACTTGCCTAATCAAGGCTGTCTTATCTCTATGTTGTTGTATTTAATTTTTTCATCTTTTTTATTAAAAAAAGAAATAAACACCATTCCTTGGGCTCCTTTTCAGCCTTCTTGGTAATTCCCACCTTCTTCCTCTGGTAACCTCAGTTCTAACAGTTCACTTGTTTATTTTTATTTTATTTTATTGGTTTATCTGTTCATCTGGTTTCTTTCCTTATATCCTGCATAAAGATGAAGTCATCTAGCATTTTCCTTTCTCTGTCTGTTATCTTTGCTTTGCATAAGCCCGGTAACTTCTTCCATTTTGCTGCATGTGACAAAATTCATCTGTTTTCAATAGCTGAATAGTAGTATTTGATTGTTTATATATACCACATAACCACCTATTAGTGGAAACTTAGTTTGAGCAATGCCGTAGTAAACTGGAGTGCATGTAATTTCTAGAGTTAATGCTATTCTAGTCTTTGGGAAATATTGGAAGTGGTAACCTATGAAAAGATTGCCCCCTCCTTCCTTCCAGTCCCAATGCAGAGACCTTCTGGGCTCCCCCTAGGGCATCTCTCTGTTAGTGTTGAGCCCTGGGTTGGGGAGGCTTCTGGACCTACCAGTCACAGGTCCTTTGGCTGCCTCCCATCTGGCCTCAGTGAGGACCCTAAGCCTGCCCACTCCCCCCAGACTAGGGCTTCTGTCCCCTAGCCCACAGACCTGCTCATGCATACTTAGTATATAACTTTCCTGTTTTGTATTACTGCTAGGGTTGTGCCTTGTCCTTAGTGACAAGGTTGGATGGTGGTGATATGGTACTGCTAACTAGCTTCTCGCTTTTCCCCCTCCCTCTACTATTGTTTCAGATTTTTGTATATAGTCATTGGGTAGCATTGGGGTGATGGGTCTGAACTAGCTGTTTACTCTCTTTCTTTGTAGGTGGATTGCTCAGGTTATGAGTTGGAGCAGTTACACACCAAAGTAACCTCACTGTGCAACCGGATAGAACAAATCCAGTGTTATAATGCCAAGGATCGCCTGGCTCAATCAGGTAAGCCTCGAGCTTCTTGCCTCCCACCTGCTTCATTTCTTTATGAATTATTACATCACTTCCTACCCCAGAGCCCACCCTCATTTACCACCTGCTCTTGGTGCTCACTCCTCCTTTTTTTTTCCCCAGATATGGCCAAACGTGTAGCTAACCTGCTGCGGATAGTACTGAGTCTTCAGCATGCCCCTGATGCAACCTCTGACTCAACACCAGACCCTCAACGAGTCCCTTTGCGCCTGTTAGCTCCCCACATTGGCCGGCTCCCCATGCCTGAGGACTACGCCTTGGAGGAACTGCGCAGCCTCACACAGTCCTACCTGCGAGAACTGACTGTCGGGAGCCAGTGAGGCCCTGGCTGTTCTACCACACTCACCTGCTCATTCACACTCAACACAAAGAGATCCCCCGCTTTGGGTTGTTTGGCATTGTTTGCCATTCTCTGGGTTGGCTGTGGAGTCCACCCTCTTCCTGCTGCCTCAAGCAGCATTCTTCAGGTGTTCAGGGCTTTTCTTAATACAGAACATAGTGTAAGGGCTTTTGGAACCCAAAAAGGGAGCTACGTCTCTTTTTGTCATCCTCACGACCATTTTCTTTTCTTTTAAAAAATGGTCAATAAAGCACCTTTGGCAGGGTTGCTGCCAAAGAACCAGGGAATTCTTTTCCACCTTCAGCCATTCTGAATCTTGTGACCCTCCATGAAATCTGATACCCTACTTCTACCCCAGCCCTTTTATACTAGGACTCTTTAGATGGAGTGGAACAATGGGTGGTGTGTAACTTGTTGACCTAGGACTAACCTTCCTTACCAGATAAACTATCCACAGAAGGAAGGAAAATTTGTCTCAAGTGAGATGGTAAGCTAACTGAGTTTGAGTCAAGAAGGTTGGACTGGATTAAGAATCAGAACAGGGTCTTTTCTGACTCATTGAATAGAACTGAGTGCTCACCATGGAGACATGGGGTCTTCAGGGTTGGTTTGTTCCTGCCTCCAGTTTTGTCAACACCAACCTTCCTCACTGCCATGTGCAGGAGCCTTTGGTCATACCTCATATTTCTGAGAAGCTCCCAGAATTCAGTTTGATCCCTGGTTTTTATGATCTTGCTAGACCTCCTGTCTAGATTTGCCTGAAGAGTTTGGATAAAATAGGACAGCTCTGGTAGACCTCCCTGCCCCTCCATTCTAGCCCAAAGCATTTCTTACCATCTACAATCCCAGATGGAAAAACAATCACTGAGGCAGGCAAGAAGCTGAACTTCAGGGGCAGGTAGGCAAGAGAGTCTTCGCTACATTGCTGCCAGCTGTGGGAGCCCAGGATGATGTTAGGACTGTCACAGACAACATGGCACCCTGGGTCTTTATGCATGAAGATTATGTAAAGGTTTTTATTAAAAAGTATATATATATATATAAATAAATGATCTAGATTATTTTCCTCTTTCTGAAGCTACTTTCTTAAAAAAACAAAATAAAATGAAATGTTTATAGCATTCATGGTATTGGCTTTCCCTTTGTGTTTTGGAGCCTTCTTCAAGATTTATGGTGGCCTGGCTTGATTTGAAATCTAAATGGAGACACAGTTCATGGGTTAAAGAGAATAATTTGGGGCTAAACTAGGATATATGCTAGATTTATAAGGGCAAGATTAGGGGTGAGGAGGTTAAGGTTAATGATTTGTCCTAACTGCTATACATGTATTTATGCACTTGAGTTTCCTATTAGGGGGCTGGGGAGGGGCCTCACAATGCTCAATGGAATATACTTTGTATCCATAGCCTTCTTGCTCAAGTCATTTTTTCATCTCTTTAACAGAATATGAATATTTTTTTTAAAGATTTATTTGTGCATACAGAATTGGGGTACAGGCCAGAGATGCAGGGCATGAGAGGATTCACAGAGACAAAGTGAGGAGCAGGACAGGCAAATGTATTGAAATAAACTGGGGGGAGCAGCGGGCAGGTCAGGAGAGGTCTGCTGTGCCATGTAGGTCACTCCCTGGCCAGGAATAGCACTTATGCTGCAGTGGCTGCAATAGCTTAATAGTGCAGTGCTTTAACCCATTGGTACCATCAAAGAGGGCCATGTGAGAGTATTTCATTTAGGGTCTAGGATACAGACTTCTAGGACATCAAGTGCAAACAGCTGAGAAAGCTAAGTAAGTCTGTCTCATGACTGGGATCTCCCTCTTACTTTGGCTTCTGAGGATAAGGGTTACTCAGCTGAAAATGAACATTCCTTGTATAAATTTTTATCGGAACATGTTTTCATTTCTCTTAGGTATATACTTAGTAGTGGATTACGGAATCAAATGGTGGTATTTCTTTTACAAGGTAGTCAGTGTCACTTCACATCTCCACCAGCAATGAAAAAGGTCCTGATTTCTCCATACCCTCTCCAACATTTGTTACTGTGCACTGCTTTTACAGCCATTCTAGTGGGTATAAAGTAGTATCTAGTTATGGTTTTAATTTGTATTTCCCTATTAACTAATGACATTGAGCATTATTTGTTGTGCTAATTGTCCACTAAAATGTTTGTTTTGTTTTGTTTTTTGTTTTGAGAAATGTCTATTTAAATTCTTCACCTAGGGCCCTCCCTGGTGGCACAATAGGTTAAAGCACAGCACTGTGAGGCTATCCGCAACCACTGCAGCATGAGTTCCATTCCTGGCCAGGGAAGTGACCCACATGGCACAGCAGACCTCCCCTGACTCCCCACTGTGGTGGATCCTCTCACCCCCCTACACCTCTGGCCTGTACCCCAGTAATTGTGTGCGTAAATAAATAAATCTTTAAAAAATTCTTCACCCATTTGAAATGTGAGACATAGCTAACTTTTTTAATTGAGACATACTTCACTTAACAGGAATTTCACAATTTTGGAGGGTATACTACAGTGTTGTGTTTTTGGTTTGTTTTTTTTTTCTTTTAAAAAGATGCGTACAAGAACTGGGGTATACACCAGATATGTGGGGGTGAAAAGATTTACCAGATGGGCGTACAAACTGCTACAACCACTATGGAAAGCTGTATTGTAGTTCCTTAGACTACTAAAAATGGAGCTACCTTATGACCTAGCAATTCCACTCCTAAGGATCTACCCAAAAGAACACAAAACATTAATTCAAAAGGATACATGCACCCCTATGTTTATTGCAACACTATTTACAATAGGAAAAATCTGAAACAACCCAAAAACCCCAAAATGGACTGACTATTGGATCAAGATGTTTATACATATACACACACAATGGAATATTACTCAGCAATCAAAGAAAAGGTAAACTCATCCCCTTTGCAGCAACATGGATGTAGTTAGAAGGGGTCATGCTCAGTGGAAAAAGGAAAAAGAACCTATTGGATGGCTTCACTTACAGTAGGAATATAGGGGAATCAAGTAAGACAAGGGGAAAAAGAAGACACAAAACAAAAACAGACAATAATATACCGGAGACACCCTGCACGGGTGGGGAGGTAGAGGGGTCAGAAGGGAGGGAAGAGCACAAGGGAATGTGGTACACAGGCAAACCAGGGAGGGGGGGGAGGAAGTAAACATGGTTTTAAAATGAATTACAATGTAAATTATATATATTAATTTTTTTTTTTAATTTCAAATAGATTCACCAAAGATAGTAGGGAGCAGAACAGACAGGCTGACTGAAACATACTTCCAGGGGAACAGCAGGCAAGCCGAGAGGTCTGCTGTGCCGAGAGGTCTGCTGTGCCATGTGGGTCAGCTCCCTGGCTAGGGAGTGCAGTGGCTACAAATAGCTTCATATTGTTAAGACTTGACTCCTTGTGCCACTAGGGAAGTGCTGCAGTGTTTTTTTACTGTATTTACTACTGTGCAATCTACACCACTTACTCCAAAACATTTCCATTCCCTATAAATTAAAACCCATTGCTGTTAGCAGTTCCAATATCCCTTCACTCCCATGCCCTGGGAACCACTAACCAAACCCAGTCTATATGGATTTGCCTACTCTGGATGTTTCATATAATATATTGACTTTTAAGTCAATATATATTTTTTTAATATGCTTACAGAACTGGGGTACAGGCCAGAGGTATGGTGGTGAGAGGATTCACCAGAGACAGTGGGGAGCAAAACAGGCAGATTGATGAAGTACACTGCTGAGGATAGCAGCAGGCAGGTCAGGAGAGGTCTGCCACACCATGTGGGTCAGCTCCCTGGTCAGGGATCGAACCCATGCTGCAGTGGCTTTGGAGAGCCTCATAGTGTGGTGCTTTAACCAGGGAGAGCCCAGCATAGCATTTTTAAGGTTCATCCATGTGGTAGCATCTGGAAGTATTTTATTCCAATACTTTATTCATTAATCACCTTGGGCCATCTATGTATCTGGTGGCACATCTGCCAGGATTCTTTGCCCTTAGGGCATCCTAGGTGGTGGGAGGGGTTAAGTCTCAACACTATGAAGCAATCCACAGCCACTGCAGCATGAGTTCCATCCTGGCCAGAGAGCTAACCCACATGGCACTACAGACCTCTCCTGACTGCCCTCAGCAGTGTACTTCGTCAGTCTGTTCTGCTCCCTACTCTGTCTCTGATGAATTCTCTTACTGCCCCTGCACCTCTGGTCTGTAACCCAGTTCTGTATGCATAAATAAGTAAATCTTTAAAAAGAAAAAGTTTAAAGTGACACTAAAACCTATGTTTTCCCTGCTACCCAATATTTGCCTGCAGTGTTTAGGCATGGGGAGAACACAGGTTCAGGGAGGAATGGTTGTGAATACTCTATGGCAGCCCAAGGCTCAGCACCATCCCCAACTGGAGGAAAGAGATTACCAGACACAAAATTTTGTACCTCATTGGGAGCAGAGCTGACAGTCTAAAAGGAACATCCAGAATTCAGCAATGGCAGCAGAATTAGCAGAATAGTTACCAACCCAGGCCCTGACTCCATTCCTGTAGATCCTAAACCTGTCATCCCTGTACTCTCCAACCTCTCAGACTGGGCCTAAGCAGAGCCTGGGTGCTGTCTTACAGAATTGAATAATTCAGGTCCCAGTGACCTGAGGTGTCAATTTCAGTTGCTCAATTCCCCAGGGCACAGATGTCCCAACCTTGTAATTAAGCTAATGAAAGGGCAAGGGCTAGGAGGGGCCTGGTGTCCTATGCTTCAAAGGGCTGAGGGCTGCTGGAGCCCTTGCCCTTACCCTGCTGAGAATCAGGCTCTTTCAGAGCTCAGCTTTGGGGCATGGAGGGAGGAAGCCAGGGCTAAAACAGAAGTAGGCAAAGGAGGAGAGAGTGGAAAGATGAAGTTCAGAACTAGGGGAACAAAGAGAAACCAAGAAAGCATTACAGAGAAGACCACAGGAAATAAACTGAGTAAAAGATAAAGGGGCACAGAGGTAGAGAAAAGAACAGAGGCAGAAATAGGAAGAAGCGAGGACCTACAGAGAAGAACTAAGTGCTAGAATTCAGGAACAAGTACAAATAGGGACAGATAAATGTAAGGGCTACAATGCACCCAGAGAGTAGCTAAATCTAGCGGAGAGCTGTCTTCTGACTTACAGGTCTTATCTACACCATCCTTGCCAGCAGCACCAAACGCTGCCCTAGTTCGGACCAAGAGGCTCACACCCTGAGATTTGCCCTACCTCTTGCTGTGGCAGAGCCATGGGTCCCTGGAGCCACCACATCAGCCTCCGCTTCTCTGTCTCCAGCCTGGGCCTTCTGTTCCTACTCCTTCCAGGTATGAAGCTCAGCAAGCCAACCCTGGATCACAGATTGCTGCTGTTTCCATCCTTCCTCAACCAATCTCCACATACTCTTAATTTCTTCCTTCACTACCTGTGCTGGTAGCAAACTACCTAGGGAGTGGGGAGGGGGACTGTGCTGAAGAGGAGACTGGCCTAACTCAGGTAGGAGTAATGAGGGGATCCTCCAAGGGACAGGGCTGGAAGAGTCAGGGGAAGGCCAGATCATGTAGGGTCTTCAAAGCCAGTCTGAGAGCTCAGGCATTATCCTGCAGGCAAGGGGGAGCGCTAAAAATGATCTATCAGGACTGTGAAGGATGGTTAGAGGGTCTAAGTGAGAGAAGCAGGGTGCAGTAAGAAGGCTACTGCAGCAGCAGGGGTCCACATCAGGGAGGACAAGACTTGGGCTGGAGAGGAGATGACACATTCAAGACCTGTTTGGTAATCCGACTGACAAGACGTGGGGACTGGTTGGATTGGAGAGGAAGAGGGCAGGAGAAGGGAGAGATAACTTTGGATTTCCAGTTGAGGTCACTGGGGGATGCTGTTTGCTGAGATGGGGAATACATAATAAGGAGCAAGTTTCAGCACTCTTTCAGGCAGACCAGGGAGGGATTAGACTTCCAGCTGGAGGAAGAGAGTACAGACATGGGGACACTGTAGCTGTGTGAAGAGAGTGGAGAATGGAGCAGGTGACAGGGTTTCTGTCTTTATGGGTAAAGGATATGAGTAGAGGACTCAGACAGACAACCCCTCTTATTGTCCCCCAGAATGCTTGGGGGTCGAGGGCAGGCTGGCTCACAAACTGTTCCGTCACCTCTTTGCCAACTACACAAGTGCCCTGAGGCCTGTGGCAGACACAGACCAAGCTCTGAACGTGACCCTGGAGGTGACACTGTCCCAGATCATCGACATGGTATGTTGTAGTGGTTTGTACACTGTGAGGTGTGTCTGCAACCTTGTCCAGGAATGGGGGAAGGGATTATGAGGCGAGGCGACTAGGATTATTCTCCAAACAATTGTTTTTTGTAAATGCTAATGTTAATGACAATACTAACAACTACTAACTGATAGATACTAATTGTTAGTGTCCACAACTTGCACACCTGAGTCCTTGCCTAGCAGGGATTATTACCCATGTAACTGCTGAGGAACTGAGACCTAGAGAAGAATCTGCTAAAGTCACATAGCAAGGTCAGGCCTGGGTGGGAACTGTGCTGCACAGACAAGTTGGGTTTGTGGGTATCTACGTCTCTGCCCATTCTCTGCCTCCTCTAGGATGAGCGGAACCAGGTGCTGACTCTATACCTGTGGATCCGACAGGAATGGACAGATGCTTACCTACGATGGGACCCCGATGCCTATGGTGGCCTGGATGCCATCCGCATCCCCAGCAGTCTTGTGTGGCGACCAGACATTGTTCTCTATAACAAGTAATGCCTGCCTGGGCCCTCCCTTCCCTCACCCCTCCTGGGTTGCTGTAGGCTCTAGGTATACACAGACATCCTCCTCCTCCCATCCCACTGATCAAATCTGATTGCTATGCTACCCTGAAAACTTTCTGCCTGCCCCCTTCTAAATTCACATTCCCTTTATGGCATTCCCTGTTTAGACTGACCCAAAGCAAACTGGGCTGACAGTCTCCTGGGAACCCATTATGTGGTCCTGGGCCAGTTCGGTATGTCTGGAAGTGAGTTCTGGGACACAAGCTTCTCTTTATGGCATCCTCCTCACC